CACATATATATATATATATATATATATATATATAAGATATTGGATAATCTATGATCTAATATTACAAGTCTAATAATTCTTTAAGTTAAAGAGCAAATTCATGCAATGCAACACTCTTTCATATTTTTATTATGTCTTTAAAAACTTTCCGTATTTTATGTACTATCCATTTTTAGTTGATGATACACACACACACACACACACACACACATATATATATATATATATATATATATATATATATATATATATATATATATATATAATGAACAACAGACATTTAAGTAATGGTACCTTAAAGTGTCTGTTGTTCATTAAATATTAGCTCTGTTCTTCACATTGAGCTTTCAGGATGTCATCCTCCTTGGATTTACCAATTCGGTTTACCAAATTTTTCATAACTTAAATATATATATATATATATATATATATATATATATATATATATATAAATTTAAAATTTTAAATAACGATAACCGAGCGCGTCCGCGCGTGTTTTAAAAAATCACCATCACGAAGGAATGTAGATTTTATCGCAGTTACAATAAATTTCTTTTATAATTTACCACCGATGATGATCTTGGAAAAGATCGAGGGTTAAAAAAAACTACAGTTTCTCCCTTGACGAATTTTGTATTAAAATCAAGCAACCGATTAGGCAACTGGAAAGAATCAGTATGAAAAGTAGTCACAAAATGCCTATAATTATTTATTTTAAAAAAAGTTATAACATAAATATGTTATAAAATCACTACAAAAATAGCCATTAATTTCTTCTTAAAATCAAGAAGCTGTTTAGACAACAATAATAGCATCAGTTTAAAATAAATACACACGACATGTTCAATGAAACATGTTTGAATGAAGACATGCTAGATACACACACACACACATATATATATATATATATATATATATATATATATATATATATATATATATATATATATGTATGTATGTATATTTTGAATAAAAGACAGACCACGTTAAGATTCCATGTAATAAGCTATTTCACCATAACCCCTTTTACAGGGTTCTGCATCATCAGACTTTACTTTCAAAAGCTGAAATGAATGATCCAGAACCCTATTAAAGGGGTTATGGTGAAATAGCTTATTACATGGAATCTTAACGTGGTCTGTTTTTTATTCAAACATATCTGCTCTGAATTTTACATTGAGCTCTCTGGATATCATCCTCCCCAGGTCTACCCCTACGGATTACCTAAGTTTGCATAAACTATATATATGTATATATATATATATATATAAGATATTGGATAATCTATGATATAATATTACAAGTTCAATGTGTCTTATCAAGTGATGATGTTGAATGTAAAATAAAACCAATCATATACTTGGGTATATATATATATATATATATATATATATATATATATATATATAGATAGATAGATAGATAGATAGATAGATAGATAGATGTGTGTGTGTGTGTGTGTGTGTGTGTTTGTATATATACATATATATATATATATATATATATAGATAGATAGATAGATAGATAGATAGATAGATAGATTGATTGAGAGAAAGAAAGAGAAAGATGGAGAAGGAAAGAGAAAGAGAGAAAAGAAAGAGATTTGTAATCTACAAGCTTCATAATATATATAAGAATATTTTAAATAAATATTTATTCATCTTGGAGTTATTTCCAGATGAGTTATTCCATGTTCTGTTCTAAATTAAAACTAGAACAGACATTACATCTTTGCTAGTGGACGTGCGGTCGATTAGATACAATTTTAGCGTTCCAACCGTGAGATCCAAGTTTGCGTCATAATCAATTTGTCAAACACTTCTTGATAATATCAGCCTGTTGAGACGATCCCAATGTGCGACATCGTCGAAAAAATGCCTGGATATTATGGCATTAGTTAACCAATGCCTGGTGAGAGAAATTGTGTGGTTGTGCTAACAGGAAGTCATTCTGATTGAAAATGGGAGTGTACTGTCCTTCTTCAACCCCTGATCACGCCAGAATATTCGCCCGCTCCAAGAAAATGTAGCTAAGATCCACTTTCTATAGTTGTACTGTAATTCCTGGTTCTCTTTTGTGGGTGATTAAGAAATACATATGTGCCTTAGCATCTGCTATATCCATTAGCTAGCAATCCTAGAGGACTCTATAGTTTCCGGGGAGTTTTCTACTTTTTAACTCACCCTCTTCTACACAAAAAATCTTTCTCAGAGTATTTTTGAAATGATTAAAAAAATTGTTACATTTTACAATTAAATAAGAAAGATGCTTCCATAAGTGTAATTTTAATAATTCAGTTTAATATATTACAAAGAATATTTTGCTTACTCAACCTCAATTCATGTCTGACATAATCGAATTGTAAACCAAATTACTACTGATGCTGCTGCTAATTTTGTTGGCATGAAAGCGTTTAGCCTATGTGTGTCAGCTTGTTCCTCTAGCTCTCACGGCGTTAGCAGAGCGTAAAAACATCCTCCAGTACTAGAATAATCTGCTGGAAGTCCTGGTGGATGACGCCCTTCGAGCAGCTGCGTGATCTGACGTGTAGTCGTCCCCAGTCTGCAAATTGCGGGTCAGACTGGTAGATGGCTCTGGTAGGGAGGCTATCAGATCGTTCTAAGACGTAACCGTGCTAGCGAACACAGCATTGAGCGATGGTGAGGAGGATGTTGTAGGAAATATGACTTGCTACAAGGACCCAAAATATATTGATTTTTCAAGCATAGCTTAGATGTGGCACAAGGCCAGGAGTAGAGGCACACAGTGAGAATCTAACTCACTACTCAGTCGCAATTGAGCTAGAGAGATAAGTTTGCTAACCATTACAACACGTAAGTGTCCAAATGATTTTCTACGCGTAACTTAGATGTGACACGGGGCCAAAAGAATGAGGCACCCAGTGAGAATCTAACTCGTCATTCAGTCGTAATTGATGTAGCGAGACAAGCTTGCCAACTATTACATTGCCTCGAGGTGCCCACAAGGACCCAAAATATATGTTCTGCAACTGCTAGGGCTAAATCTCGTGTCATGAAGGCTTTGGGCCCACGAGAACCTACTTGTCCCTCTAGCTCTCACGGTGTTGGCAGAGCATCGGAACATGCACCAGTGCCAGATTAATCTGCTGTAGGACCTGGAGGACGACATTCTTCGAGCGGCTGAGTGGTCTGCCGCGAGGTCGTCACCAGTTTGAAGGCGGAGGGTCAAACTAATGACTGATAGGGTGATCATCAGGTCGTCGAAGGAGGTGACCGAGCAAGTGAACACAGCGTTGCTCGATGTTGTGAGGATGTTTGGCTGGAGCTTCACATTGGAAATAAGATTAAACCAGTGCATCACCATGATGGTCTTGAAGGCGGGAGTGGGGGGCATAGGGTCTTGCTGAGAGGTCACGTTTTGGCATTGTATAGTAGCACAAAGAGAAAGGTGGGAGTTGTAAACTCTTAGTTTAGGGAGTCAGGAGATGTCGTGATGCCGCCAAAGAGATCGCCAGAGATCTCTCATGACACCCGTAATCAGTCCATGTCTTTTATTGATCTACGTGACTTTCTGTATTCCTAGTGTTATGAACACAAATAACATTCGAATATTTTTTTGTCATACAATCTGCACAGGCATCTTTTCAGGGTCGTTCATAGAGCATTCTTGCGAACAGGGGCGGTTGGCTGCTAATTATTTCTATTCGCCTGAAGCAAACTATACCCTGGCTGAGATATTATGCAAGACAATTTTTAAAGCAGCATTTTAGGTCAGCAATTCTGAAATTACAGAGTGCGATGTGTAAATTGTCGCTATTTTATATTTTAAATTTGCGCATGCGTGTTTTTTTTTTTTTTTTTTTTTTTTGTCGATTGCAAAGTATAGAAGGATCAGATGGGTACCATGAGTGAGATAAAGAGCATCATGAAGCAATTGCCTCCGACAGAAATTTGGAAACGACATGCTGTATTGCTTGGTATTCGGATGTTTCTGAGTGTCTGGGTGTCAATCTGAGATGAGTGCAAAGGATTCGGAAAGAGTTATAAAATTATAATGGTGGTGACGAAGATACGGCAGCTCGAAAATTCACTGACCGTTCTGATAAGAAAAGAACTCCCGAATTTGTTGGTGAGAGTCTCAAACTCAACACGGAGGCCTACATCAAATGCCTTGAGGGGGTAGTACTGCCCTGGGTCAAGAGGATGGCTGCTAGAAGACCCCATGTCTGGCAACAGGACTCTGCACCATGCTACACAACCAGGAGAACCCAGTCATAGCTGCAAAACAATTTCTGCCTCACCCTTTATGATCTGGCCACCTAACTCCCTAGACTGCAACACCTTTGATTATTATGTGTGGGGCATAGTTGAGCGAGAGACTAACAATAGTCCTTGTAATACCAAAGATGAACTGAAGGCAAAGATTATAGCAGCATTCACCAACCTAAACAAGGAGACCATCCAGTAGAGATGCAGAAAATTCCGAAGTCGTATGGAGATCTTGGTTGAAACTGAGGGCGATTTTATTGAATAAATTTACTCTTTTCAAGTATTTCAAGATATTTGTGTTTAATTTTGGTAAATATATCTGTTAAAATGAGATGTCAGTGTTATTTTTCATTTTTGCGTAATTTAGTCGACAATTTATCCATCGCAGCCTGTATATGACGGCAATGTCATTTAAACTTGAGGTTTTGGATGTTTTATATTCATTAAATTATAAGCTACGTATTTTAATACGTTTCTGCATTAATCTACCGCTGTTATTGAGTGTCTGTCGGAGAGAATGATATGCAGATATCTGTACATTCCGCTATTTCGATATTTCCATTGCGTATCCACCATGGAAGCGGACCACGAACAAAAATATACTTGATCAGTGGATAAATAGGTGATACATCCACCTCATGGTTTGTCTAATCATACTTGTTTTATAATAAACTCTTACTCTCCGTTGTATATGATCAGCATTGCTTCATGAGGGCATTGAATAATGTAAGAATGATGTACATAGATTGTATGTCTTCATATCAACATTTCTTCTTCTCTTTTCCTTTTATTTCATTCATATCTCTCTCTTTTTATCTTCTTTCTCTGTTTTTTTCTATTTCATTCTGTCTTTCTTCTAAAAACAATACCAGCAATAGTCCGTGTTTCTCCATCACTTTCCCTCTCTCCCATCTTACATTTTTCTCTCTTTTTTCTTTTTTCTCTCTATCAATCACTGATGTTGTCTCTCTTTCCCTAACGTTGTTTTTTTTTTTCCTAAGTCATATTTGATCCCTCTCACTTTTTTCTTTCATTCTCCTATTTTCTTTTACTTTTTAATTAATTCTCTTTTATTCTCTCTTTATCGAATTTTGTTTTATTTTCTACTTTCTTTCTTTCTTTCTATCTATCTATCTATCTATCTATCTATCTATCTATCTATCTATCTATCTATCTATCTATCCCTGACGATCCGCTTACGTGAATCCTGAAAGTTTGTCTGGCTCTCTAGGTTTGACTATCTATCTATCTATCTATCTTTTTCATTCTCTCGGACTTTTATTTAACACAAAACTGTTTTCTACAACCTGCAGGATTTCCCTCTTTCACTTTCTTTCATTTTCCGATTTTTTTCTTTTCTTTTTTAACTATTGTTCCTCATTTATTCTCTTTCTGTATTTGTTATTTTTTTTTTATTTTCCCTCACCCTTCTCATTTTGTTCATATTTTTTTAGTTAAATAAAAGCATCAAAAGGGAAAAGTGTGAGGAATGTCTTCATTCTTCATTCTTTCTCCTATATAGTGATTGTCTTTTTTCCTTATGCATAATGTCTTTTTTCCTTTTCATTGTCTTTTTTTCGCGTCCTCTCTCTCTCTCTTTCTCTCTCTCTCTCTCTCTCTCCCCGCAATATTTCTAAATAAGTTCTTTATCTGAATGTATAAAAGGATTTTTTTCTTCTTCAATAATCTTTCACTCTTTTATTAATCTAATCTTTTTCTATAATCTCCTCTATCTTCCTATTTCTGATCCTCAAATCTCTCTTTTCCACTTTCATCTAATCTCTTTTCCCGGACGGATAAGCATGTTCAACAGCTAAAGGGGTAAACTTATCCAAAAACGAAAACTAATCACTGACTGAAGCGAACCCGAACTTCCCTGTGACAGATTTTTCTCTTTCTTCTTTGCTTTTAGACAACTTCAATAATCCTATTTTCTACAGCCATCTTCAACAGTGTACTACACCGTCCATCAATTCAGCTATTCTACAGAGGTCAGTAAATTTTCTTCTCTCGTCTTCTTGCCGCTTCCAACTCAATTCAATCATCTTTTATACAACCCTTAACGACACACTCGAATCCCTTCCGAACGATGCGAAACCCATCAAAAGGAAGGTGAACACCATTAATACGATCTTATTCAATTGACAAAATCCCAATCGCTTTTCGAGAACGAATAAATCCACACTATGATACACGGTCCACGATCATTACCGAAAATGTTCACACTGTTTTTCGTTTTTTAAAGAGCAAATCCTTTCATCTAATTTCCTTAAATTCCTGTATTCATTTTACTCTGTCAAAAATACTTTCTGTCTACATCAGCCTGTGACTGACACATTCGCCTGTCGAATATATTGATAGTATATCCACGTTATTTCTGAAAGATGATCCTGCAGTAAGGGGTTAATTGCCAAAAAGATATAATGAACTCGATCTGAATTTGGATGTACATGGTTCAATAACTTTGTGCTATTTACTAAGCTATGTTTAGTAAATATCTATATACTGATATATAGTAGCTACTGTTGTTAGCAAAAGGCGCAACATTTAAATTATAATTTGGAGATACCAAAATCAAACAAGTACAATTTAAATATCTGGGAAAATATTTTTAACCGAAATCTGCAGACGCATTTGATAGCCACAGATGCATTCCAAAAGCTAAGCAGAGAAAAAAAATCGTTAAAAGTAAAGAAAAGAGTACTGAACTCTTATGTAATACAATGGTACCCAACCTTTTTTTTTAGCTCATGGCGCACTTTGAACCCAGAATTTTGTTATGGTCCATTAAATTATTTCCGTGTAAAAAATTACTTCCATATTGTGGCCTGTAAGCTGTAAACCATATATTAGCCTGGAGGCTCAATAAAAATTTAAAAAATTTCTATAGTCTACAATAAATTTTTCCATGGCCCATTTTGTCCATGTGGCCATAGGTTGATAACAACTGATGTAATATCTGTCCTTATATATGGCAGTGAATTCTGGGCATTCTCCTCAAAGATGAAAAAGAGACTTGAAGTAACAGAAATATAGTTCTACAAAAGGATGCTGGCGATATGATGGAACGAACATGTAAACAACGACGAAATTTTATTTTCAGGAATAGATAGTTGACATTTCTAGCGCAACTAATGAGTAAAGAAGACTTGGAAAATTTGATACTCACAGGACATATTGAAGGCAGGTGGGACAGAGGAAAACGACGCATAATCTACTTAGTAAATGGATGGAGCAACACGTTTTGGGAGAGATAACAAAAAGACAATTTTTATTAGGAGCTACAAAGGATAGGAAACTTTGGAGAGCTATGATCGCCACACCCTGATTGGAAAAGGCAGATTAAATAAGTCTGACTTCTCTAGCATACTATTACGAGGATCATGATTTTAAATTCCGATTGTGATTCGCAGGATTTAAACTTAGTATTTTTTTTAATGTAAAGGTAGCGCTTTATGTCACCAGTGGTACCACAAATGGGATTTATTACATAAAATATGAAAATTCTCTTCAATCTAATATTTAAATTCGTGCCGTGTCCCTTCATGGCGTGGGCGATTATGGCTCCCCACAACTTCCTATCTCTCGTAGCGCTAAATAATTCTTGTCCTGTCCCATTCCTACCAGTCAGCCATTTAAACACACTCGTTATGCAGGTTACTTATTCTTTCCCGATGACCCTGTTCCCTTCAATAGGTCCTGTAAGTGTTATATTTTCCATGCCCTCTTTCCTAATTATCTATCTGTGGCGAATGAAGAAAATAGTAACCAGCGAGTAAATTCAAGCTCTCCCAGCTGGTATTTCAAACTTGAGTCGTCTCCAAATCACACTAACTGCCCGTTCTTGCCGTCAACCGTGAACGTCTCTCGAATAACTCCCCGACTTGGAAAAAAGTAGTTCTTTTTATAATTGCTCATATACCCATAATCCCTTGCGTCTTCACGTGATCCCATAATTCATTGCGTCCACGTCCCATAATGCATTGCATCGTTATTGCATAAAAATGCGATGCCAGTCCCCCCTCGTTCTTTTAAGTTATCTGGCCGAGGACGGATTACGGCAGAGCGGTAAGTGCTTTTTTTTTCTCTCCCTCATTTCAACTGCAGTAGCTTTACATGCTAAGCAAATACGGGCTCTTTTTTGGCGGGGACAAGGCAAGTCGCGACCAGTTATGCTGGTCCCAGGTTCTGTCTCATGTCCGCCACACTATCCTAAAACTGTCTTATCCTAAGCACAATTTTTCATTTCGGTCCATTTTTCATTAAAGCTTCTTCGTTGTTCGTGTTATTCTCCCTGCATGGTAGCATCCTTCTACTGAGCTACATTTCTGTTGACTTTAGTCTTCTCTTCATTTGTGGGGATATAGCCCAGTATTCACTGCCATATAGCAGTAGTGATATTACATATCAATTCAGCACTTAACGATATGTGTTTGGTTTTTGTAATTCACCATTCGCTATTCTACTATTCTAATGCACCTTCGGAGTTCGGTGTCACATTTCCGTTGTGGTTTTCTCACACTTCACAGATAGCTAAGCTTCTGTCCTTGCTTTATTTTAAGTCTTTAATTTCTAGCTTACCTCTTGTCCTATCTCTCTTGCTAACGTCTTCTTATATTTGATAATTAGTCTTTTCTTCCCGCTTTCTTTTACTATCTTATTAGATAACTTTATATATATATATATATATATATATATATATATATATATATATGAAGAAAAATATACAGAAAAAACAAACAAAAATCTTAATATGCAATTATGCTGTATTAATGTTAATATAAAGTCAACGTCGGACGTTTCGGTCCATTTTAGACCATCATCAGGACATATAATAGACCGAAACGTCCGACGTTGATTTTATATTAACATTAATACAGGATAATTGCATATTAAGATTTTTGTTTGTTTTTTCTGTATATTTTTCTTTATACTGTCGGATCTATATCCATATATTTGCTTACATATATATATATATATATATATATGTGTGTGTGTGTGTGTTTGTGTGTGTGTCTGTGTGTGTGATATATGTGTGTGTGTGTGTCCAAAATTATTAACAAATCTATAAAATTTTAAAATCTTTTCCATAAAGAAATAATAATTCAAATCGACATATAAAAAAAAAGTGTTAACACCGGAGGAATATAAAGAATAATGAATTTTATTGAAGGAATATTTGCAATTTGATTGTAAAAGACCTGTTAAAATTATTCAGGCCCATAAATCTCTATTCAATTGCAATGTTGTTGTTTTTTATTAATTATAACAGTTTGTAATTAGTTTTCATAATTCATCACAAGATTCCTGTAAGTCTTTCGCAAAGTTCTCCTTAAAACGAGAAGGCTTCCTTACCAATATATGCGTCATCAGCTATCTCCACAAACATTCAGTTGAGTTATGATTTGAAATTTGGCTAGGCTAAGCCCCTGTAAAACATTGATATTATTGTCCATTAAACATTTCGTTTGTAGCTTTGACTGGTGTTTGGGGGTCATTGACTTGTTGGAAGGTCCACTAATGACCCAGTCGAAGTTCGTCGGGAGGTCTGTTTGATGTTACTGTTCAAAATCTGAATATACAATTATTTCGTCATAATCGCGTCTACCATTATCAGCCTATAAATACCACTGGTTGAAAACCATCGCCATTGCTTTGTGTTGCCGCCACCACCATGCTTGACTGCGTGGTCTTTTGGTGGTTGAAATTGTCACTACTTTTTCACCAAATGAAAGCAAAATTCTTGTAACCAAGAAACTCAGTTTTTCTTTCATTTGATCAAAGAATTGATAAACCAAAATCTTTTATATGAAACTTTGCAAAAACTATACGATCTGTTACGTAGACTTCAGCAATATTTTATTCCAGTCTTCCGTACAAAGTTCTTTAGATTTTTTATATTAATATTCATCAATATAGAGACCCAAGAGCCACTCAAGGAAGCATGTCATTTTTTTTCATTGTTGTATGAGCGTAAGAAAATTAAGAAGCGCTGTTCATGAGGTTATGTAGGTAAGATAATGGTTAATCATAGATTTTAAGAGGTCAACATTGTAGTTATTGGAGAAAATATCCAAACACGAGTTTGTTCAACAGAACAGCAGTTCTTGAGAAGTAGATGCCCGAGTGGAACTAACTCCTTACTAAGGCAATACGAAGAGAATGATTCACTAATGTGTGAGTTCCAATTGCAAAGTTTGGTGTAATGCAGTTTGACGAACTGCATTCCACCAAACTTTGCAATTGGAAATTGCGATAGATTAACGAGAGGCTTTCGACGTTTTGTCTGTTGGAAAAATGTTGTAGGCTAAAAATAATTCATCACCCACAAAGTCGTGTAGAAGCATTTGGAACCCATGAAGACAGGCTGATTTGGCTCTTGTAAAGATAGAGTATAGCGGGGGAGTCGGATACTTACTGGAGCAGTACAATGAATCAGTGATTTGTTAAGTATATATCAATACATCGTACATATGAGTTCCATTTGAGTTCTGGGGTGAACTTGTGTCCCAATAGACGCTCAAGGCAAGGAGCTTCCGCTAAGCGAATAGATAGGTGAAATGCAAAGATCTCTGTACTGTCTGCCGAAATATTTTCCCAGACATTTAAACCTCCAAAATATAAATCGTCGGGAATC